GCGAGGCTCTTCGTCAGCTTCTCCTGCAGGGAGGTGCTGAGGTGAGGTGCCAGCAGCCCCCACCTCGCCCCCCCCCATCTGCACCAGGGCTCTGTGGTGCCCCCAATTCACAGCCAAAGCCCAGTCTGGCCCCAGCAGCCCTTACCCTGAGGGCCTGGTAGGCGCTGAGCACCGGGGTGATCTTGTGGCTGGTGTGGGTGCGGCGCACGCGGCAGAGCTGGCACACGAGCCGCTGGCAGGTCTTGCAGTAGTGAGTCACCTCCTCCTTGTGCTCCGGGCACATCAGCCCCTGCACGGGCACAGTGGGGCTCAGAGGGGCTCTGCAACCCCCTCCTCCCCCTGAGGATACCACCCCTGCACCTCCAAATCATAGAATCACAGAATCACAGAATGGTTTGGCTTGGGAGGGGATGTCGAAGATCCTCTCGTTCCAACCCCCTGCCATGGGCAGGGACACCTTCCACTAGACCAGGTTGCTCCAAGCCCCGTCCAACCTAGCCTTGAACACTTCCAGGGATGGGGCAGCCACAGCTTCTCTGGGCAACCTGTGCCAGTGCCTCCCCACCCTCACAGTAAAGAATTTTTTCCTAATATCCAATCTAAACCTACTCTCTTTCGACTTGAACCCATCCCTCCGTGTCCTGTCGCTCCAGGCTCTCCTAAACAGTTCTGCCCCATCTTTCCTGCAGCTTCCCTTCAGGTGCTGGGAGGCTGCAATTAGGTCACCCCAAAGCCTTCCCTTCTCCAGGCTGAACAACCCCAGTTCTCTCACCCTTAATCCTCTCAGCCCTGGGGGAAGGAGGACCCGCAGGGGAGGCCGTACCTTGGGGCGGAAGGTGAGGGTGGGGGGCGTGGGCTCATGCTGGGCTTTCTGGGTGCCCCAGGGGTGGTAGAGCTTGAAGCACTCGTTGCAGAAGCTGGACTTGCACTCGGTGCAGCCCTTGGTGGCCTCCAGCTGCGGGGGCTTGCAGAACTGGCACATGATGGCCGCGCTGATGTTGATGGTCTGCCGGTACCGCTCCACCACCCGCTCCAGCGTCAGGTTGCGGAACAGGCTGCCCAGGCCCCTCTCCCCCAGGTCCACGTCCCGCTGGCAGGCCGGGCATGGGAAGCTGACGGTCTGGGGGTGCACGGCCCCCCGCTTGCGCCCTGGGTAGGTGCCAAAACCTACGGGAGGCAGGAGAGGAGGGGGTGTCAGTGGGGGCCCTTCCAAGGGTAGCCCAGGTCACCGTACCTGTCCCCATCCCTTCCAGTTGTCCCCATTCCCAGGCCCTCCAGCCACCCCTGTCCCCAACCTCTCCACCCACTCACATCCCCTCCAGCCACCCCTGTCCCTCTACCCTCCAGCTATGCTGTCCCTTCTTTGGCCATCCCCCTCCTCTCCAGCCACCCCCATCCCCTCCAGCCATTTCCCTCTTCTCCACTCATCACTGTGCCCTCTGTTGTACCTCTGGTGTCTCATCTGCCCTCCTCTGCAGCTGTCCCCATCCCCTTCAGCCACTGCAATCCCCTCCAGTTGTCCCCATCCTCTCCAGCCATCCCTGTCCCATTCCCTCCAGCTATGCCTGTCCTATCCAGCCACCCCTTTCCCCTCTGTTGTCCCTGTCCACTCTGCTGTCCCCATCCTCTCCAGCCATCCCTGTCCCCTCCAGCCACCCCCGTCCCCTTCAGCCATTCCCCTCTTCTCCACTCATCACTGTGCCCTCTGTTGTAGATCTGGTGTCTCATCTGCCCTCCTCTGCAGCTGTCCCCATCCCCTTCAGCCACCGCAATCCCCTCCAATTGTCCCCATCCTCTCTAGCCATCCCTGTCCTCTCCAGCCACCCCCTTCCCCTCTGCTGTCCCTGTCCTCTCCAGCCATCCCCATCCCCTCCAGCCACCCCCATCCTCTCCAGCCATCCCTGTCCTCTCCATGCCACCCTTCCCTCTGCTGTCCCTGTCCTCTCCAGCCATCCCCATCCCCTCCAGCCACCCCCATCCTCTCCAGCCATCCCTGTCCCATTCCCTCCAGCTATGCCTGTCCTATCCAGCCACCCCTTTCCCCTCTGTTGTCCCTTTCCACTCTGCTGTCCCCAGCCCCTCCAGCCATCCCTGTCCCCTCCAGCCATCCTCCTCTTCTCCACCCATCACTGTGCCCTCTGGTGTCTCACCTGCCCTCCTCTGCAGATGTCCCCATCCCCTTCAGCCACCGCAATCCCCTCCAGTTGTCCCCTTCCTCTCCAGCCGTCCCTGTCCTCTCCAGCTCTCCCCTTCCCCTCTGCTGTCCCTGTCCACTGTGCTGTCCCCGTCCACTCCAGCCATCCCTGTCCCCTCCAGCTGTGCTGTCCCCTCTCCAGCTGTCCCCTTCCCCTCCAGCCACCCCAATCCCCTCCAGCCACCCCCATCCTCTCCAGCCATCCCTGTCCCATTCCCTCCAGCTATGCCTGTCCTATCCAGCCACCCCTTTCCCCTCTGTTGTCCCTGTCCACTCTGCTGTCCCCATCCCCTCCAGCCATCCCTGTCCCCCTCCAGCCATCCTCGTCCCCTCCACCCACCCCTGTCCCTGTTCCCTCTGTCCATCCCCCTCCCCTGCAGCCCCCCCGGTGCCCTGTGCCACCCCTGCCCCCTCTGCCGTGCCCTCCAGCCCCACCTGACTTGAGGAGGCGGTCGAGGCGGTCGGGTTTGGGGACGGCCCGGCGGCCCAGGCGGGGGCTGCGGGTGGAGGGGGTGGCGGCGGGCGAGGTGGGCTCGGAGGTGGGGTCACAGCACAGGTGGCCGTGCTGCAGCAGCACCTCGCTGGCACACACGTGGCACACGTTGTGGGTGCAGGGCAGCGCCAGCGGCTGCTTGTACATCTCCTTGCACACCGGGCACACCAGCTCCCGCTCCATGTTCTTCATGCTGGTCTGCGGAGAGACAGGGGAGCGTCACCCGCTGCCCGTGGAACGGGGCTGGCACCAGGTGGGACCAGGGCTGGGATCAGAACCAGGGCTGGGATCAGAACCAGGGCTGGGATCAGGGCTGGGATCAGAACAAGGGCCAGGATCAGCACCAGGGCCTGGATCAGCATTAGGGCTGGGATCAGCACTGGGATCAGCATTAGGCCTGGGACCAACAGAAGGGCCAGGATCGGCATCAGGGCCAGGATCGGGGTTGGGACTGGCACCAGGACTGTGGACCAGGATCAGGACTGGGACCAGCACCAGGAATCAGCATCAGGGGCAGGATAAGCATCAGGACTGGGATCAGGGCAGGGATCAGCATCAGGGACAGGATCAGCACCATGGCCAGGAGTAGCATCAAGGCCAGCATCAGGCCTGGGAGCAGTATGAAGACTGGCATCGGGGTCAGCACCAGGATGTGGCCCAGGGCTGGGCCAGGACTGGGAACTGAGGCCACACCAGGACCAGGATTGGGGCAGGCATAGGACCAGGACCAGGACCAGCAGCATGGCCAGGATCAGGCCCAGTACCAGCAGCATGGTCAGGATCAGAAGGAGCACTGGGACCAGCACTGGGATGGGGCTGAGGCTGAGATCACAGCAGGATCAGGATCGGGAACAGCACCAGGACCAGTATCGTGACCAGGGCTGGAGTGGGGATGTGGACTGGGTCTGGCATCTGAGCCAGGATTAGGCCTGGGACCAGCAGCTTGGTTGGGATCAGGAACAGCACTGGGACCAGAGCCAGGATGGGGCCCAGGGCTGGGATGGGCCCAGAGCAGGGCCAGGATCGGGTCAGGATCAGGACCGGTTGGGATGGGAATGGAGATCACCACTGGGATCAGCACCAGGATGGGGCCCTGGGCTGAGATGGGGATGGAGACTGGGGCTGAGATGGAGATGAGGACCAGCACTGGGATCAGTGCCAGGATGCATGCTGGGATGGAGCCCGGGGCTGGGATGAAGATGGGCTGGGGCTGGGATGAAGATGGGCTGGGGCTGGGAGCCGGGATGGTGCTGGGATCTGGGATGGGGATCAGGATGGGGATGGGATCCACGATGGGGATGGGATCTAGGATGGGGTCCGGGATTGGGCCCGCAGTAGAGCCCGGATTGGGCCCGGCACTGGGACCAGCGCCAGGACCGGGCTGGGAACCAGGATGGGGGCCGTCCCCCCACCCCGGTGCTCCCGGTGCTCCCGGCTCGGCCGTAGCTCGGTGCGGGTGGGGAGCCCGGATCCGACCCTCCCCGGGGGTTCGCTGCGGTGCTGCGGGTCCGCCGCCCGCCCACCCCTCAAGGGCATCGGCCCCCCCGCCCCGCGTTGCCACGGCGACCCGGTCCCGGGGGACTCCTGTCCTCCTCCGCCACCCCCCATCCTCCGCCGCCGCGGGCGCTCACACTGATGCGGACGAGCGCGTCCATGATGGAGGTGAAGGTCTGCAGGTCCTCGCCCTCGGCCATGGCTCCGCTCCCCGCGCCCGTGCCCGCGGCGGCGGCGGCAGCAGCGGCGGCCGCGATCGCCCCGGTGCGTTGCAGGAGCGGCGGAGCCGGGGAGGGAGGGAGGGACGGAGTGGAGGGAGGAGGGAGGGAGGGGGGGGGCGGCGGCGCGCATGCTCGGCCCGGCGGCACAGGGGCGGCGGCGGCACCGGGAGGTGGCACCGGGGATGCTCCCGCCGCACCGACGGCAACGCGCGGAGGGCAGCGCGGCTCGCGGACCGGCGCCTTAGGGTGGGTGGGGGCGGGCGGGATGGGCTGGTACCGGAGGTCATACCGGGGACAGCACCGGGGGTAGCACCGCGGAGGGGGTCCCGCCGTGGGTCCCGGTGCCGGCGCCGGGAGTCCCACACTGCCGCCCCCCACCGCCAGGGGGCGCCCCAGACGGTGGGGGAGCTGCAGTACCGGTAACGGCCACCGGAGGGCACCCCTGATGCGGGGGAGCTGCAGTACCGGTAAGGCCACCGGGGCACCCGTGTTGGGGGAGCTGCAGTACCGGTAACGGCCACCGGGGAGGGTCCGAGCACCGGGAGGGGAGGGGCGGGGCAGCCCGCGCATGCGCAGCGCCTCCTCTCCGGTGGTGCCGCCGTGTCCCTGCGCAGTGCGCATGCGCGCAGCGCCGCACCGGGACCGGTACCGGGACGGGACGGGACGACAATGGGTGAGGGGGGGAAAGGGGGGAGAATGGGATCGTGATGGGATAATGGGAGGGAAGGAGAGGGGGTGGTGGGTGTAGGGGAGCGGGAGGAATGGAGCGAGTGGGGAAACGGCGGTAATGGGGGCCGGGGGGTAACGGGGATGGACGGGATAACGGGGTGATGGGGAAAGGAGGGGTGATGGGGCTGGGGGTCACGGCGGCAAAGGGGCGCGAAGGGTGACGTGGATAACGGGGGTAGGCGGATAGCACGGGTAATGGGGTGGGGGAATGGGGCAGTTGGGAATGGGGATAATGGGGGCTATGGGGGTTGGGGGAACTGGGAAGGGGAAATAGGGAAAGGGGGTAATGGGGACGATGGGGAAAGGAGGGGTGACGGGGAGCACCGTGGGTAACCGGGGTAATGGGTGCAAGGGGGCACAAAAAGTGATGTGGGTAATGGGGAAATGGGGAGTTACGGGGGCTGGGAGGTGATGAGGGGCAAGGGGGCACAAAGGGTGACGTGGATAATGGGGGAAAGGGGGTAACGGGGGCAGGGGGGCAAAATGGGGCAAGGGAAAATGGGGCAGGGGAAATGGGGGGTAACTAGGCAGGGGGAAATAGGGGAAGGGGGAACAAAGAGGAGAGTAAAGGTGGCACGGGGCAGCCCCGTGGCTGCAGGGTGGGCTCACCCCCGGGGAGTCCAGCCCCGGTGCCGGTGCTGAGCCGGCCCCGGGCACAGCCGTAGGCACGGGCACGTCCCTGGCGCTGTCGTCGCTGCTGTCGCTGCTGCTGTTCGCGGGGATGCAGATGTACAGCCGGCAGCTCGCCTCCACCGAGTGGCTCACCATCCAGGGGGGGCTGCTGGGCTCGGCACTCTTCGTCTGCTCCCTCACTGTATCCCCGGGGATGGGCACCGGGAGGCGGGATGGGGAGGGGGCAGGGCTGGGGGAGGAGGATCAGGGCACCAAATCAGGGAGCTGGGAGTGAGGATGGAGGATAGGGGCCAGGGCTGGTGGGGAGGGGGGCCAGGGCACCAAATCAGGGGGCTGGGAGCTGCACCGAGGGGGTGGGGACAGGGGACAGGAGTGGAGGGGCAGGAGCAGGGCTATGGGGAGGAAATGGGATGGCAGCAGGCTCCAGAGCACAGCAGGTCCCTGTTCTGCTCCTTAACCCCCACGCCCAGGCCTTCAACAACCTGGAGAACCTCATCTTTGGGAAGGGCTTCCAGGCCAAGATATTCCCTGAGAGTAAGTGCTGGAGGGGGGCGGGAACACCCTGGTGTCCAAAGGCCCTTGGAGGAGGGGTGGTTGTGCTCCAGCGGTGAGACTGGAGGGTCCCAGCCCTGCCCTGGAATCCTGGGAGCTCCCCCTGAGCTTTTCCTGGGCTGTGGGGGGGGTTGTGGCACCTGGGGCAGCGCAGCAGCCTCGTGTCTCTCCTGCTTTCTCCGCAGTCCTCACCTGCCTCTTGCTGGCCCTGTTCGCCTCTGGCCTCATCCACAGGGTCTGTGTGACCACCTGGTACGTCCAGAGCTGCTCCAGAGGGGGGGGAGCGGCTGGAGGGACTCGTAGGGATCATGGGGGCACTGGGAGGGGAGCAGGCCACTGGGAAGGGCTGCCAGGGACCCCTCGGGGGCTGATGAGAACGGTGGGATGTGAGGGGAGGGCATTTCAGAAGGGCAGGAGAGTGGGATCCGAGGGGAAAGTGTTTGGGAGGAGCAGAGTGGCATCCAAGGGGAAGGTGTTTAGGAAGGGCAGCACAGTGGGATCCAAGGAGAGGGTGTTTAGGAAGGGCAGCACAGTGGGATCCAAGGAGAGGGTGTTTAGGAAGTGGAATCCAGTGGAATCGAAAGGAAGGTGTTTCAGAAGGGCAGGAGAGTGGAATGTAAGTGGAGAGTACTGGTTTAGGAAGGGCAGCACAGTGGGATCCAAGGGAAGGTGTTTAGGAAGGGCATAGGAGTGAGTTCCAAGAGGAAGGTGTTTAGGAAGGGCAGGACAGTGGGATCCCAGGGAAGGTGTTTAGGAAGGAGCAGAGGAGTGGAATCCAAGGGGAAGGTGTTTAGGAAGCAGCAGGGAGCGGAATCCAAGGGAAAAGTGTTGGTTTAGGAAGGGCAGCACAGTGGGATCCAAGGGGAAGGTGTTTAGGAAGGGCATAGGAGTGAGTTCCAAGAGGAAGGTGTTTAGGAAGGGCAGAGGACTGGGATCCCAGGGAAGGTGGTTAGGAAGGGATGAGGATTGGCATCCCAGGGAAGGTATTTAGGAAGGGCAGCTCAGTGGGATCCCAGGGAAGGCTCTGGATGATCCTGGCGTGTTCCTGCCCCCGGCAGCTGAGCAGCCTTTTCCCTTCTGCCCTCTCAGCCTCATCTTCTCCATGGTCGGCCTCTACTACATCAACAAGATCTCCTCCACCCTCTACCAGTCTGCAGCGCCCGTCGCTGCCCCTACCAAGGCCGTGGGCAAGGGCAGGAAGAGGAATTGACGTCCTGGTGCCCCTCCCGGAGCAGCCCCCTCCCCATGGCCACTCTGGGACTCACCCCCTGCCCAATAAAGCCATTTCTTTGTAGCTTCTTGTCACGGGTTTGGCTTCTCCACCAGCTCCCAGCCCCGGGTTCTGTGCCCTGCTGGAGCAGCCCTGGAGGCTGGGGTGGGTTCTGGGGATGGGCAAGGGGGGAAATCTGCCTGGACCTGCAAGGGAGGAGCATCCCAGCAGAACCAGGCAGGTCGGAGCAGGGGCTGGAGCGGGCAGGGGGTCCGTGGGGGTGCCAGGGCTCGGGGCTGCAAACCCCTGCCCTGGCACAGCTGAGGGCTTGGCTGGGCATCACAGGTCCATCCCCAGGGCACCGCGGGGGTCACCGGGGCAGCCCCCGGAGCGGGATGGAGGTGGGGAGGGTGGTGGTGGGAACGGCAGCCGTGGGAGGGCCGGCAGGACCTGCTCCCACGCCGGGGCCCCGCGGCCGGACGCGGAGGAAACCAGATGCTTCCTGCGGCTCCGGCCGCGGCCGACAAAGCCCAGCGCTTCCTGCGGCACCGGGAGCGGGGCCGGGCCGGGGGTCCCGCCGGGGTCCCGCCGGGGGTGTCGGTCCGTTTCCCGCCCTGCCGGCAGGGGGCGCCCCGGAACTACAATTCCTGGTCTTGGAACTACAAGTCCCGGCGGGCCCCGCGCGTGGCGCCGCGGCAGTGACGTCACTGCTTGCGACGGGGGGCGGAGAGCGGCACCGGGACCGGCACCGAGTCCAGGCCAGGTGGGGGCGGCACCGGGACCGGGTCTTTTGGGAGGGCTCGGAGGGGCCCCGGCGGGGTTCGGGGATGGGCTCCAGTCTAGAGGTCTCGGGTGGCGCATGGAGGGGGACTGGGCCCGGGGCGGTCCCTCTCTCCCGGCTCCCCTCTTCCCTCTCCTCCCCGTCTCCCGGGCCGCCTTTTCCCTGTTCTCCCTCCCTGCTCTCCCTTCCCTCCCTTCTCTTTTCAGTTCTCTCCCCCACTACCTCCCTCTCTCTCCGCTCTCCCCATCTCCTGCTCTCCTAACTCCCCTTTCCTCATCTCTCTCCTCTCTTCTGGTTCCCCTCTTCCCTTTCACCCCCCCCACCTCTCTCCTCCCCATCTCCCGGGTCACCTTCTGCCCATTCTCCCTCCCTCCGGCTCCCCTTTCTCGCCCCTTCCCTTCTCCTCTCTTCTCCCCCTCTCCCAGGCTGCTTTCTCCCCTCTTCCCATCTCCCCCTCCTCCTGACTCCCCTTTCCCCATCTCTCTCCTCTCCCAACTCCCCTCTGAGCTGCCCCTCACGTCCCCTGTCCCCTCTGTCCCCCCAGGCCGCCATGACCAAGCTGGGGCAGTGGCTCTTCGGGCTGGCCCTACTGGGCTCAGCCTGGGCCGCGCTGGCCCTGGCCCCGCCGGGGCTGCCAGGGCCGCTCCGCCAGGCCCTGCTGCCCCTGCCCATCTACCTGCTGGTGGCCTTCGGCTGCTACTCGCTGGCCACCGTGGGCTACCGCCTGGCCACCTTCAACGACTGCGAGGAGGCGGCGGCCGAGCTGCAGGAGCACATCAGGGCGGCCCGGGCCGACCTGCGGCGGAGGGGGCTGCGCCTGTGACAGCAACAGAACCTGGGGACAGCAACAAAACCTGGGGACAGCAACAAAACCCGGGGACAGCAACAAAACCCGGGGACAGCAACAAAACCCGGGGACAGCAACAAAACCCGGGGACAGCAACAGGACCCAGGGACAGCGGCTGTGACAACAACAAAACTCGGGGATGGCGGCTGTGACAGCAATAAAACCCAGGGACGGCGTCTCCTGGCGCTGCTCTGTCACCCCAGGCCATTGCTGAGGGCACTGGGGGTCCTGGGTGCTGCTGGAAGAGCCCCCTGTGGGGAATCACTCGGTGTGGTGTGGGTGTCTGGAGGGGTCTCAGTTTGCCCACCACCCCGAGGGGCTTTCAGGAGCCCACCCTGGCCTCTGCCTCCTCCGGGGAGCTCCCTGTGGATCTCAGCTCTGGAGGTGGATGTGGGGCCGTGCCCTGGCTGCCCTTTAGATGTGGTTTGCCTCCGGCAGGTGGGAGCAGGAGGAGCCTCCTCCCGCCCCGCTGGCCGCGTTCCCGGGAAGGAGGAGAGGGACTGGCTCGGGTGGAGGGGGCGGTGGAGCCTTTAAACTGCGCCATGGCCCCTCCCGGGGAGCTCCCCGCTCCTACCGGATCCTCTGCCTATCCAGAGCTCCACACTGGGCAGGGGGGGCTCTGCCTGGGGGTGCCCCACACCTGGGGACCCCCCGCCCGGCATGCCCGGACCTGGCTCCTCCAGCCGAAGGATTTTGGGATTTTAACGATCGGCTGCACGTCCCCTGCAGAGAGGAGCCGTCGGGGAGCGGGAGGGAGGGCCCGGGTTAATTAGCAGGAGTGGCTAATTAGCAGTTTCCTGGGCAGCAGTGGCGGCTGGGAAGCTCCCGGCGTTCACCAGCACAGGGCTGGCTGAGGGTGGAGTGACACCACCCCGGGTTCAGCCACTCTGGGGGGTGGTTGGTGGGGCTGGGACCACAGGGAGAGGGCAGCAGTGTTCGGAGGGCTTCTGACAGCCCTCCGTGGGACACTCCGGGCTATCAGGGGCTTCTCATGGCCATCAGGGGCTCCCTGTGGTCATTCAGGGCCTCTTCACAGCCCTCTGTGGGCTACTCATGGCAATCCAGGGGCTACTCCAGGCCATCCAGGGGTTCCCTTTTTGGTCATTCAGGTGCTACTCCCAGTCCTCTGGACTACTTAATGGCAATCCAGGGCCTTTACTCATGGCCATCCAGGAGCTACTCATGGCCAACCAGGGCCTACTTGTGGTCATCCAGGGGCTACTCCAGGCCCTCCAGGGGCTACTCCCAACCCTCTGTGGGCTACTCATGACCCTCTGCAGGCTCCTCATGGCCATCAGGGGCTCCCTGTGGTCATTCAGGGGCCACTCCCAGCCCTCTGTGGGCCACTCATGGCAATCCAGGGCCTTTACTCCTGACCATCCAGGGGCTACTCCAGGCCCTCCAGGGGCTCCTTGTGGTCATTCAGGAGCTACTCCCAGCCCTCTGTGGGCTACTCATGATCCTGTGTGTGGGCTACTTAATGGCAATCCAGGGCCTTTACTCATGACCATTTGGTGGCCACTCATGTCCATCCAGGGGCTACTCCCAGCCCTCTGTGGGCTACTCATGACCCTCTGCAGGCTCCTCATGGCCATCAGGGGCTCCCTGCGGTCATTCAGGGGCTACTCCCAGCCCTCTGTGGGCCACTCATGGCAATCCAGCGCCGTTACTCATGGCCATTCAGTGGCCACTCGTGTCCATCCAGGGGCTACTCATGGTCATCCAGGGGCCACTCGTGACAATCCAGGGCCTCTCCTCACAGCCATCAGGGCCACACAGCCTGTCCAGCAGCAGCTCCTCCCTGCGTGGCAGCGTCCGGGGAAGCCGCTCCGCTGCCTCGGGCCCGGCGTGCGCGGCCACGTCACGGAGGCAGCCGGAGCGACCGGTCGGGTGTGTCCGTGGGGAAAGCTGCCCTTTCCCGGGGCTGTGGGGCCGGGCTGGGAGCGCTCCTGGAGAGAGTGGGGGGCTCCTCCCCACCGGGAGCAGCCGGAGCAGGCAGGAGGGACAAGATGGAGCATGCCAGGAGCTCGTCCTGCCTCCCTCCCTCCCTCCCTCCCACCGGCCCCATTCCCTCCACACGGATCCCATTCCTTCCACATGGATTTCTCCCAGGCTTTGTGTGTGAGGGTTGAGCTGCAGCCCTCCAGCTCCTGCCACCGCTTCCTTCATCCCACCAGAGTGCAGGGTAGGGGTCCTGGGGGTTCTCCTGCACACGGGGAGGGGTCACTTTTCGCAAGGCTCTGGGTTGTTTGCCGTGTGGTTTCATCCCCCCGCGGCACCGGCCCGATATCTTCATTCCAGATCGCTGTTAATTGATCAATTGACGCGGGGTCGATGGCTGATCCAGGCCTGCTCGATCCGTGGGGGGTTTAACAGGGATTTCCATCGATTCCCAGCTCCTGGAGTGGCAGCAGCTCCACAACAGAATTTCCCCCTTCCCTGGTGGCCCCGGGTGGCAGCTCAGGGGGGGCAGAGCAGACCCTGACAACGCTGCTGTCCCCAGTGTCCCCTGCCCCAACCCAGTCCCATGCCCAGTCCCTTCCCGGCACCAGGGCTGATGCTTCTTTAATGCTGGAAAGGTTTGCTGGAGCCTAGAGGGTGGCAGGATGAGGCCCCACCATGAGGAGCCCCTGGATGGTCCTGAGTAGCCCCCAAAGTGGCTGTGGGGACACGAGCCATCCCAGCCCCTGCAACAGGACACCAGGAGGATGGAGGGACAAAGACCAGGCGCTGGGAAGTCTCTGATTTATTAAAAGGCACTTGAATCTGTACAAAAACAAAAGATGCCCAGGCCCCTGGCAGCCCCAGCCCGGCACCAGGCAGGGCCGTGGGCACGGAAGACCATCTTCCCACCCTGGGATCTGGGGGTGCTCCTGGCACCCCGAAGGCATCGCTGAAGGATGCGGGGCTGGGTCGCACCGAGGCAGGAGATGCCTCCTGGTGTCCCCTCTGGGAGGGGGCAGCAGTGGCACCCGGGGCTGTGGCGGCAGGGCCAGCCCGGGCTGGAGTTGGGGGGCTCCTCGGGGGGCCCCTCAGGCGGGCAGGGGGCTGTAAGACTTGTCCTGCCCTGGCCGGTACCACCGGAACAGCCAGAACCGCACGAGGCTGGTGACGATCCCCGGCACGTTGGGGACCTGCGGGAGGACACGGGGGGAGAGCGGATCTACCCCTCCCCCCTTGCCGTGCCGGGGGTGGTTTGTTGGCCCCGTCCCAGCTAATTAATTAAAATCAATCGTCATCGTGCCGAGCCTTGTCACGGGCTCAGCCGGGTGACACACGCGGCGCTGGATGGGGCCGGCCCCGAGCCAACGGCTCAGCTGGGCCAGGAGCGGGGCGGGATGGGCTGGGATGGGGTTGGGATGGACTGGAGTGGGGTGGGATGGAGCGGGATGGGATGGGGATGGCGTTGGAATGGAGTGGGATGGGATGGAGTGGGCTGAAATAGAGTGGGATGGGATGGAGTGGGATGGGGATGAGATGGGATGGGGATGGGTTTGGGGTCACGATGCGAATGTGATGCGATGGGGTTGGAATACAGTGGAATGGGGTGGGATGGGATCGAGGGGGATGGGTCATGATGGGGATGTGGTGGGATGGGGATGAGGTGGGATGGCATGGAGTGAGATGGGTCAGAATGGGGATGTGCTGGGATGGAGTGGGGTGGGATTGGGGTTGGATGGAATAGAGTGGGATGGGTCACGATGGGGATGTGCTGGGATAGAGTGGGATGGGGTTGGGATGGGATAGGGTGGTATGAGGATAGGACAGGACAGGACAGCATCCCCTGGCTGCCCACCACCCCAACCCACCGTGATGTAGGGGTCATGCAGCTGCAGGCCATAGAGTGTCCAGCTGCTGGAGGCCACGAAGGTGGTGACGGTCAAGGGGAAGGACAAGCACCGCGTGGACTTGCTCCGGACAACCTTGGCCTGCAGGAGCAAACGTCAGGCTGGGCCCGGGCTGGGCCACCCCAGCTCCTCCCAGCCCCACACACCAGGTCAGCCAGCGGTGAGAGGTACATGGTGATGGTGAAGACGCTGCAGAAGAGCCCCAGCTGCCCCAGGCGCATCCCCGTGTCCACCAGGAGGGCGAAGTAGCCGCAGCCGGTGACCACCACGGCCAGGAGCAGCAGGATCTGCAGCAGCACAGGGCCCTGGGGGGAGGACAGGGGGATGTCAGGGCGAGGGTCCCCCTGTCCCCCCACCCCCCAGGCCACTGCCCCACCTTGGCAGGGCTGTAGTAGAGGTACACCAGGATGTAGAGGGTCTGCAGTGCCGCCCCGATGGCGTTGACGGTGATGAGTGTCCCGTCCCCCTTCAGGCAGCCATAGCCCAGCCAGCCCACGTTGCTGCAGAGAGACACGGCACAGGGGCTGGGCTGCAGCCCAGGGGACCACCCCAAATCTGTGTGAACCCCCCTCCTCCCAGGGCATGACCCCACTGTACTTGGCATCAGTGGTGAGGAAGGGCAGGAACTGGATGTTCTCCACACTCTTGGTTGCCAACATCTGGCGCAGGTCAGACCTGGGGAGAGCAGGGGGCAGCGGCCTCCTGGGCACCCACCAGTGCTGGGGGTAGGGGGGGCTACAGTCTCTGCTGCCAGCTGGCACTGCACCCCTCAACTCCCCTCCACTGCACCCCCAAATCCCTCTGCACCAGCCACCCACGACCCTCCCTGCACCCCCAAACTGACTCTGGTGGTGCCCCCACTGCACCACCAAACCAGCCCTGGTGCCCTCCCCATTGCACCCTTCCATGGCCCTCACTGCACCCCAAAAACTGGCCCCAGTGCCCTCCCCATTGCACCACTCCATGACCCTCACTGCACCCCACAAACTGACTGCAGGGCTGCCCCCACTGCACCCCCAAACCAGCCCTAGGGCCTTCCCTATTGCACCCTCAAATGCTCCCCCCATGGCCTCCACTGCAGACCCCAAAATGTCTCTGGTGCCCTCCCTGTTGCACCCCCCACCCTCCCCCAGGACCCCCATTACACCCCAAAACTAGTCGTGGTGTCCTCATTGTACTCCCACCCCCCCGGACCCCCCTGCACCCTCAAATTCCCCCCATGGTTTCCACTGCACCCCAAAACTGGCCCTGGTGTCCTCATTGCACCCCCAATCCCTCCATGGACCCCCTACCCACCACCATAGTCCCCACTGCACCCCTAAACTGACCCTGGTGTCCTCACTGCACGCCCAACCTCCCCATGTCCCCCACTGCACCCCCAATGCCCCATGGACCCCCATTACACCCCAAAACTGGTCCTGATGTCCTCATTGCACCCCCAACCTCCCCATGTCCCCCAATGTCTCCCTATGGACCCCATTACACCCCAAGACTGGCCCTGGTGTCCTCATTGCACCCCCAACCACCCCAAAACTGGCCCTGGTGTCCTCACTGCACCCCCAGCTCCCCCATGGGCCCCCATTACACCCTAAACTGGTCCTGGTGTCCTCACTGCACTCCCAACCTCCCCATGGATCCCACTGCACCCCAACACCTCCATGGGCTCCCATTACACCCCAAAACTGGCCCTGGTGTCCTCATTGCACCTCCAACCACCTATGGGTCCCTGTTACACCCCACAACTGGCCCTGGTGTCCTCACTGCACCCCCAACCACCCCATGGTCCCCACTGCACCCCCAACCCCCCATGGGCCCCCATTACACCCCAAACTGACTCTAGATGTACTCATTGCACCCCCAATCCCCCATGGGCTCCCATTACACCCCAAAACTGCCCCTGGTGTCCTCACTGCACCCCTGGCCCCACTGCATCCCCAAACCGGTCCCGGTGCTCCCCACCCTCGCCCTCGCCCCCTCCCGGTGCCGCCGCCGGTCGCTCACAGGCCGGTGGCGAACATGGCGAGGGTGGCGGCCAGGCAGAGCCCGGCGAGCACCGACGTGGCCATCCCGGGGCACCGGGAACCGGCCACAGGGCCCCGGCGGCGGCAGGGGCGGGGCGGGGCGGGACGCACTACCGGGGAGGGACCGGCCGCGCACCGGGAGGGGCCGGAGGGGATCCGGCACCGAGCGACAGCAGCGACAAACACCGGGGACAGTGGGAGGCGCCTCCGGTGTCGCGTGTCCTCAGTGCCCCCCTCCTCCCCTCCCCAGTTTTTGGGAGTCCCCCTCCCCCAGTTCCGCGTGCCCCTGTGACCCCAATTCTTTAGGATCCTGTGTCCCTGGATCCCCAGTTCCAGGAGCTTCGAGTCCCTGTGCCCCCCGCCTCGCTGCGGTGCCCACCCCCCTCCCCCTTCATCCTGGAGGTCACTCATCCCCATAAGCCAAATTTCCCCAAGGTGCCGCCTTTCCAGGACCCTCTGTCCCTGAGGGGGGGGGGGTCACACAGCCCTGTGACCCCGATTCCCTGAGATCCAGCTTCTCCAGGACCCCCTGTCCCTGGGGTCCCCCACAATATCCCGGGGGGGGTGTGACACAGCCCTGTTACCCTGATTCCCTGAGATCACATCTCTCCAGGATGCTCCCCAATTCCAGGGGTCTCATGTTCTTGTGACTCCAACCTTCCCAGGGTTGCCCCCCACCCCCATCCTGGGGGTCACACAGCCCTGTGACCCCAAACCCCCAAGATCCTGAATCCCTGGAATCCCCACTTCCAGGGACCTCAAGTCCCCGTGACCCCATCTCCCCAGAGTTCTCCCCCCACCCCCCAAATCCTGGGCGTCACACAGCCCTGTGACCCCAATTCCCTGAGATTCCACCTCTCTGGGACCTTCCATCCCTGGGGGCCACAATTCCAGGGGCCTCACGTCCATGTGATCCCACCTCCCCAAGACCCTGCATTCCCAGGGTTCCCCAATTCCCTCCCCCTCCCCAGATCCCTGTGACCCTCATTCCCCATTATCTTGCATGCCTAGGATCCCCAATTCCAGGGGTCTCATGTCCCTGTGACCCCATCTCCCCAGGGTGCTCTCCCCCACATCCGGGGGGGAGTCACACATCCCTGTGACCCCAATTTCCCAAGATCCCACCTCTCCATGACCCTCCATTGCAGGATCCCCAATTCCAAGGGCCTCAAGCCCCAGTGACCCCAGCTCCCTGCACCCCCAGCACCTCAAGGGTCCCACATGCCTGGAGTCCCCCTTTGTGATCTCCCATCCCCCTATCCCTGAGACCACCATCCCCCTTCCCAGAGCCACACACTCCCAGGGATCCACCACTCCCCCCTGGGGGACCCTGGGGTGCAGCCAGGCCGTGTCCCCAGCCCAGCCCTGGGGGCTCTTGCTGCACCTCACCCCCCTCCTCACCACCAGTGGGGTCTGTCCCACCCCCTGGGATCTGTTCCAGGAGTTGCTGCCCCACACCTGGAAGTTCAGCCCAGTGCAGGGGGAAGGGCCCCCCCTCCTCCTTCCCCTCCCCCTGGCCCGGGAGGCCTTTGTGTCACCAGATAAAGCCGGGGCCAGTGCCAGCCACCGTGGCACTTTGCCACTTCACAGCCCGGTGCAAACACCAGCCAATTAATTAATTAACCAGCCCAACACCCCATGGGGACCAGGAGAGCCTGGCCCCCCGGAGGGGGTGGATGACCCTTTGCCCCCCACAGCCCCAGGAGATCAGCGTGGTTTTGGTTATTTATTCCAGACAATTGTATAAAAAGTTCCGTGTTAAAAAGCTGTACAAAGGGGGTGGGGAGGGTGGCTGGGGGGCCCCTCCGACACCCAGCGGAGGGGGGGATGATGGGGAAGGGCCAGGGGATGAAGGGTGGAGAAGGGGCACAGCACGGTGGGGAGGGGAATGTCTCCTACAGCCCCGCTCCTCTGGCTGCCAGGGCGGCTCCAGCCTGTCCAGGCTCCCCGAGACGGTGACACCGGGGGTCAGCAGAACCCCCTGCACTGCTGCTGCCCCACGTCCCCGCCTGCAGGACACGTCCCAGTCCAAGCCCACCGCCGGGAGAGCCCCGAGGGTGGTGGGCAAGCTCAGCTGCGGGGCAGGGGTGCCAGCCCCCCACTCCTCTCCAGTCCAAGGCACAGAAGCCCCTCCAGTTCCAGGCTCCCTCTCAGCCTTCTCCTTCCATCCTGGAAGGGCCAGCGGAGCCCGAGGGCTCCGTCTGCTCCGATGGCTTCGGGCCCTTCAGCCCCGTTAATACTGACAAATCCTGTCCTGGCCTGGCTGTGCGCAGGGCAGGCATGTGGGGACCACGGGGGTCCCCAACCTCGGCGGCTCCGGGCATGTGGGGCAGCTCAGAGCCCCTGTGGCACCAGGAGTGGCAGGAGGAGGATGATGAAGGTGAAGGGGCGGCTGCTGCTGCGCATGGCCGAGTTCTGCCCCACGCTCCTCAGCACGTGTGCGGCCGCGTCATCTGCGGGGAGGGGAAGGAGGGGGGGGCAGAGGAGCCGTCAGAGAACCCCAAGAGAAGGAGCTGAGCCCCAAGCCAGTAGCACGTCACCCCTGCACAGCGGGTGCCACCAGCACTGGCCCCTCCACCAGTCCTGGTGACTCCAGGAGGGGCAGCTGGGGTCAACCCAATGCCCTCCCCACCCCAACTCCCCCCTCCAACCCCCAATCCCCTCCACGAAGGTGGCTGGGGTCAGTTTGGAGACCTCCTTCACAGCAGCCCCAGTGTTCCCCCTGGGAGGGCACCTGGGCTCAGCCCAGTGTCCCCCAACCCCAGTCCCCCTGAAGGGCAGTTGGGCTCAGCCCAGTGTCCCCCACAACCCCCAGTTTCCCCTGAAGGGCAGTTGGGCTCAGCCAGTGTCCCCACAACCCCCAGTCCCCCCTGAAGGGCAGTTGGGCTCAGCCCCCATCTGCCCCCAGCCCCCAACCTACCTGCCTGGATCCTCCCCTTCTGTGTCGAGGCTGGGAGAGGCGGTGCCGGAGCTGTGGAGCAAACAGGGAGGGGTCACACCAGGGAAGGGCAGTGCCCAAACTCCCCCCCTCAAAACCCCAGTTTCACCACGGGCTGTCCCCCCTCCCTCCCCAAGCCACCAACACCTTCCCGGCCGAGCTGTGCGTGCCCACACCCCGGGCTGGCCGAGGGCCACGGCCGGGCCGTGACTCAGCTCAGCCAAGGCCACGCTGGGCACCGGCGCCTCAGGCGGGAAAGGGGGGCCACGGGGGGACCCTGGGGGGGCGATGATACTCACTGCCTTTGCCGGTGACTGTCACCTTCAGCTTCAGGCAGGCCTCACCATGGTGGTGGATGGGCTTGGCTGCAAAGGGGGAGGTGGGTTAGGGGTGGAAAGAGCTCGACGGGGAACCCCCCCTGCAGGTCCCCCTGAGCCCCTCCCCAGCACTCACAGATGTAGTAGTAGCTGTGCCCCTCCCTGAACTCCTTGCCCAGCGTGAAGGGGGTGAAGCGCTGGAACTTCTCCGAGAACTTCTCGGGGCCGTGCAGGGCGCTGGGTTTGTTGCATTCCCAGCGGATCTGCTCCTTGGAGCTGGGCTTGCAGGCCTGGAACTCCTCGAGCTCCACCAGGTACAGGGTGTAGCGCTCCATGACCCGGGGGTCCACGCTGCCCTCCTCGTAGTGGGGGCAGATGATGTCCAGGTAGTCGTTCAGGCGAACCTCCACCGTGTAGTCACTCCACAGGAACCTGTGGCAGGAGGGAGGGTCAGGGGGTCAGCACCGCGGGGGGGAGGGCCTTACTTGCACTCCCAAATCCCCCACACCTACGTGGGAGCAGCCCCCTGCCCGCAGCAGCTCTGGGACAGAGCACCTTTGAGTCCACCCTTCCCCAAGCCGAGTCCCACAGCACCTGGAATGGCTTTGATAGGACACCCCCCCGCCCCCAGCCTTCCCTCCGCCCCGGCTTGGTCCCCCCCGGCAGTGAGTGGTGAGCGCACTCCACTTCCCAGCGCTCCCCAGGAGCCGGGGAGCAGGGAGGGGACCGGCTGGGACGCGCACCCTGCCCGCACCCTGCCCGGCCCAGCGCTGCCGGAGCAGGAGGCGTCGCGGCTCTCGCCGTGGGGCAGCCAGCCCGGCTCCAGTTGCGCCCCACACCCCGCCCGGAGGGGGGGGACACGCCGGGGGCCTCCGCCGCGACCCCACCTCGCTGGCTGCGGTAGCCCCGGGAGGGCACAGCCACTCGCGGGGACAACCCCCTGCTCCCCAAACCCTGTGGGGGGACACAGCCCTACAACCTGGGGGGACACGGCTCGGGGAGGGGGGAGAACCCCCACGACTTGGGGAGGGGGGAGACCCAGCCCAGGGAAGGAGGGGAACCCACACAGCGCAGGGGGAGCGTTGGTGCCCAAGTGGGGGGCACTCCCACAGCCCGGGGGTCATGGCCCAGGGAGAGGCACCCCCACAGTCTGGGGGTCAAGAGAGCAAGGGAAGGCTCCACTAAAGCCAAGGGGGACACTTCTAGAGTCTTAAGGAGGTCACCCCTACAACCGGGGGCGGAGAGAAGGGGGCACACCTACAATCAGGGGGTGTCACTGCCCGAGGGACTCCCCTACAACCGCAGGGGGCGGGGGTTATGACCCTGGGGGGCAGAAGCGAGGCACCCCTACAACCTGCGAGGGTCACGATCCCGGTGGGGCAACCTTACAACCAGGGGCGGATCATGGCCCCGAGGGAAGGTGGGGGGGTACCCCCAGAGTCTGTGGGGCTGTTGCTTGTGCTGGGGTCACACCGCAGTTCCCGCCTGCCCTGGGGGCCGCTGAGCCGGGAGGGGAGGGCCCGCTCAGGTCTGCCCCCTCTCCCCCCCGCACATCCTGCCCCGTGTTTGTCAACACGGTCCCCGGGGCCGGCGCCGGGGCTGGCGCCGTGCCCCCCCCGCGGGAAGGAAGCGGCCCCTTCGCACGGCCCTGGGAACGGAAGGGCCCCTCCGGGCGCACCTGGACCGGCCCCGCCGCCCCCCCGCGCGGCCCCCGCACCGTGCTCCGCACCGGCCCCCGCCGTCCCGTCACCACAAAGGCCGCCGAGGGAGCCGAGCGACGCCGCCCGCGCCCTCGGGGCGGCGGGTCCCGCTCCCGGTGCGTGTGCTCGGCGGGGGGTCCCAGGGGTCACTCACCGGGGGTTGGAGCTGTTCCAGAACACCGTGTGCCGCTCGGCCACCGCCGCCTATCAGCCCTAGCAGGGTCAGGGCACCCCGGCCACCCATCGCTCCGCAGGTGCTCCGATCCACAGGCGGCCCCGCGCCCGCCCCGCCATAAGTGCGGCCCCGCCGCCGCCGCCCCCGCCCCCGCCCCGCGCCCGCACAACAACACACGGGACGGGGGGAGGAACGCACGACACACCCCCCTCACTGCGGCTGGTACGGGGCAAAGGGACACAAACACCGGCACCGGGCAGGGGGACATACACCTCACACCCCCGGGACCGGGAAAGGGGTCACACATCCTCCCACACCGGCACCGGCCAGGGGGGACACACCCCCCCACACCGGGACCAGCACCGGGACCGGGAAGGGGAACACACCCCCCTCTACCGGGACCGACACCGGGCAGGGACACACAGAACCCCACACACCCACCGAGGGACCCTCACCGCGTAGGGACCCCACACACCCACGGTCGCGGCTCAGGGGGCTCGGGGGGGGGGCTGGTCCTGCCCGGCAGCACCCACCAGCCTTAGTCCCGCGTGGGTGTGTGTGGGAGGATCACCCTGGCCTGGTGGTCTTCATGGTGTGACCGAGGGGCTGAGCGGACCCTCCTTACCTGGGGAGTCTGGCTGAGGTGGGGGGACCCCTTTCCCAAGACCCCAGGAGTGAGGCAGGGGCCTGTGGGTGCAGGATGGGGGCTGTAGGTGCAGAGTGGGGGGCTGTAGGTGCAGAGTAGGGGTATGTGGGTGCAGGATGAGGGCTATAGGTGCAGGGTCGGGGTTATAGGTGCAGGATTAGGGCTGTGGGTGCAGAATTAGGGCTGTGGGTGCAGAGTAGGGGCCTGTAGGTGCAGAGTGGGGAGCTGTAAGTGCAGGATTAGGGCTGTGGGTGCAGAATTAGGGCTGTGGGTGCAGAATAGAGGGCTGTGGGTGCAGAGTAGGGGGCTGGATCAGGCTGTAGGTGCAGAGATAGGGGCTGTGGGTGCAGAATTAGGGCTGTGGGTGCAGAGTAGGGGGCTGTGGGTGCAAGATGGGGGCTGTGGGTGCAGGATCAGGGCTGTAGGTGCAGGATGGGGGGCTGTGGGTGCAGGATCAGGGCTGTAGGTGCAGGATAGGGGGCTGTGGGTGCAGGATCAGGGCTGTAGGTGCAGGTAGGGGCTGTGGGGTGCAGGATTAGGGCTGTAGGTGCAGAGTGGGGGACTGTAGGTGCAGAGTGGGGGGCTGTAGGTGCAGGATCAGGGCTGTAGGTGCAGGATGGAGGGTTGTAGGTGCAGACTGGGGGGCTGTGGGTGCAGGATCAGGGCTGTAGATGCAGGATCCAGGGTGCAGAGTGGGGCTTAGGTGCAGGATCAGGGCTGTGGGTGCAGGAATGGGGGCTGTAGGTGCAGGATCCAGGTGCAGGATGGGGGCTGTAGAGTGCAGGATCAGTGCAGGTGCAGGATCAGGTGCAGGATCGGGGCTGTGGGTGCAGGGATAGGGGGCTGTAGGTGCAGGATCGGGGCTGTAGGTGCAGAATGGGGGGCTGTAGGTGCAGGATCAGGTGCAGGATCAGGGCTGTAGGTGCAGGATCAGGGCTGTAGGTGCAGGATCGGGGCTGTAGGTGCAGGATCAGGTGCAGGATCAGGGCTGTAGGTGCAGAATGGGGGCTGGGTAGGCATCAGCGTGGGTGCAGGATCAGTGCTGTAGGTGCAGGATCAGGTGCAGGATCAGGGCTGTAGGTGCAGGATCGGGGCTGTAGGTGCAGGATGGGGGCTGTAGGTGCAGAATGGGGGGCTGTAGGTGCAGGATCAGGTGCAGGATGTGGGGCTGTAGGTGCAGGATCAGGGCTATGGGTGCAGGATCAGGGCTGTAGGTGCAGATGGGGGACTGTGGGTGCGGAGCAGGGGGTGGGCACGGTGGGCACGCCGCCACAGCCCGGCGGCAGCGCGGTGCCTCGCTGTCGGCTCCCATTTGCTCCTGACACGGATCCATCCGTGTCCTGGCCGGAGTGCGCGACGCTCCGCCGCGTGTTGTGAAGCGATAACTCAGCCGCATTTGCAAAACAACTTTCCTCTTGTTTATTCCATAATGATCCATTGATTGTGGGTAATGTTGCATGCCCTGTGCCGCAGCGGGCGCGCAGCGCTCCCCTGGCACGCGGCGGGGGCTCCGGCAGGCGCCGGTGCCGCGACCGGAGAGAGCTGCACCGAGGGCTCCCACGAGGCACCAGGCTGTGGGGCCGAGTGCCCCACATCCCACCTGCACCCTGGAGCACCCCAGCCTTTCTTTCTCTCTCTCTCTCTCTCTCTCTCTCCCCACCCTCGCTCCCGGGAAGGGGGACCGGCTTCTTCCCTCTCATCCTCCCTGGCTGCGGCCAGGCCTGACATCATCTGTAATGACGGTGCGAGGCCTCTGCTCCCCGGGACGCCGGCGCTGCCGTGGCTTGTACAGAGGAGCAGCTCCCGGGAACACCCCTTGGGATCCGAGAGCTGGAGCGTGGCACGTGCAGGCCACGGTGGTGGGAGCTGGTGCCACGGTCCCAGCTTTGCCCTGGTACTGCCGTCACCATGGCAGGGACACACCGGGATGGGGACTGGGGGAACCGAGTCAGGGAGCAGTGAGGAGGGGCTGGGCAGCCCTGGGTGCCTGAACCCCGTGCTGGCCCTGCTGGGGGCATGATGACCCTCCTGGGGCACCACTCTGGATCCACCTCCTGGCACTGGGATGTGGTACCCAACTCTGTTGGCCGAGGGGCCCCCCTGCCTCCTCTGCCATGGTCCCCAGCCCTGTAGCAGGACCACTAGCACACAGGGAAGGGGGCTGGAAGTGAGGCCGTGGGGATGCATCAGGACTTGGTGTCACCACCATGCCTTGCCCACGGCACCGGTGGAGGGACTGGGGGTGGAAGGACAAGCCCGTGTGCCCTGCTGAGGACAGCCTGATGGACAACCTAGGGCTGGAGAGTGTCCCATTACTTCTACCAGGGCGTGGCAGTGGGGTACAGGGTGGGCAGCACCCTGGGCAGGGTGGGCACCCCCCCGCAGCAGCACTTGGGGGTGCCAGTGGTTCTGCACACGTGGCACATGCAGTCATGGCCACGGCCACGGCACCAGGGAGCAGGTAATGGTGGGCCGGGATTGGTGCCCGTGCCAGCAGGACAAAGGTGAGGCCATTCCGTGCTGTAAACACCAGCGCTGCACGGCGTGGGGCAGGTGGGGCCGGCCGGAGGCAAACTCGTGACAAAGTGTTTATGGTTTCTCGGCTGGGGACACCCGGGAGTGCCTTGGCCCCTGCCTGGGCTGACGTCACCCCTGCGAGGCTGGGGGAGGAAGAGGAGCCCGTCCAGTCCTTGGCCGGGAGCGAAGGCCGCGGTGCCATGCGGTGCCAGGTGCGTGCAGCCCGGCAGGTAGGCACGGCCCGGTGCCAGGCTGTGCCCAGCAGGGGCAGAGCCATGGCCCTGGGGCTGTCCAGCCGTGCCAGCACCTCACACCTTTGCCTGGAGAGCAGGAATCGCCCAGCACTGACCAGGTCGGCCAGAGCTATCCCAGAATGAGGCAGAGCCTCGTGCCACAGGGCTGCTCCCGGCGCACATCCCCTTCCCACGGACACTGCCAGGGCTGTGGAGTCCTCCAGCACTCGAGGGGCACCCAAACCTCCCTCCCTTGACTTGGGGCAGTTAGGGTAACCCCAATGCTGCAGCAGCACCCCAGAAGTCTCCTGGCGTGGCCAGGCTGCCCCGCTGTGCCCAGCCCGAGGGCACAGAGCGGAGCAGGACTGGGTGGCCGGGCCCCGTGGTGCCGTCGGCGGTGCCACGCACGCACCGGGAGCGGTGCCAGGGTCGAGGCAAATGGCAGGAAGGATCCTGCAGGCAGGGAGGGCTCTTTGTGCCAGAGTGGCAACTCCAGCCCTCGCACCCCCTCAGGGCACCGGGCAGCGGGGCTGTGCCACCACTCCGTGTGCCACCGTCATGGCACCACACAGGGACAGGGGCTGTGGTTGGTCCCTGGCACCCACACCCTGCCGGATACGGCCCTTGGTAGTGCCGGTGGTGCTGCCATGGACGCACCATGCCCACCCTGCCCTGTGTCAGCCTCGGGTACCAGCGGCACGCCGAGACCCCCGGGTGGGGGGTCCGTGGCAGGGACCTCAGCCCCACGCCAGGCCGGGCCTGTCGGAGCGCGGGGGGTAAGTGGGGAGCCCGGCGCCTGCCGGGAGCGCTACCAGGACCCGTCCGACGGGTTCGTCGGCTCTTCCCGCACCCGGACAAGCCCGGGCCGGCGGGACACCCAGCCACCGCCCAGCAAAGCAGCGCCTGTTGGGTGGGGGAGAGCGGCCGCCCTGCCCGCCGCGGCTGCGGGGACTCCCCCGGCACAGCAACACACCCCGGGAGAGGGGCCACAGCCCCCACATCCCACACTGCTCTGTGGGGAGAGCGGCTGCCCCACTCCCTGGGGACACTGAGCCCCCTCAGCCCTGTGGAGTGCAGGGTTAGGACCCCACAGCTGCTCCCCTGTGCCCATGGGGGCTGTGGGGGGCTGGCTGTGCCCCACTCCTCCATGACCCCAGTGAAAGCCCCCTGAGAAACGACTCCAGCCCCAGGCACAACCCCAACCCCCACACCTCCTTGCCTGGCTGGAGGCACCGAGGAAGAGCCGAGGGCATTCCCCGTTCCTGCAGCAGACGCCAACGTGTGCCAGATCCCCCCAGAGCCGGCAGGAGCCGGCATGCCTGGCAGAGCCAGACGCGCCGGGGGTGGGGTGGGGGGGTTATGCCGGGGTTCCCATGGGGCTCCCAGCACCCCATGGCTGCTCGCCCTGTGCAGCTGCTGAGGATGGCAAGGAAGGCTCTCCCACACCCACTGCCCCCAACACCACCCCAGCACCCCCAGGTGCCAAGGCCCTCCCACCCCCCAAGCTGCCCTTACCTGTGGGCTCTCCTGCTGTCCGTGCTGTTTTCCTGCTGGAAGCACCGGATCCCTGCCAGACACTCCATGTTGGTGCTGGGGGGTCGATGGGAAGCAGAGCCAGCGGAGGGGTGCACCCTGCAGCCCCACTTGCCACGGCTGGAGCTGTTGTGCCTGGTAAGGTGGGTGGAGGTCAGTCCTCAGACCTGACCCCCTGCCCTGGCTGGAGACCCCCCGGGCGCCAAAGCCCCTCCAAGGGCCGGGAGCGCTGCACGCCACCGTGACAGGGGTCCGTGGTTTTTTTTTTTTTATCCTTTTATTATTTTTTTTTTAATAGACTAAGAGCAGAATATGAAAATCACCAGCCAAAGCACTTGAAAAAAAGGTCGAGAATGTTTTTTTTTTCGTTTTTGTTTTTTTGTTTTGTTTTGTTCTGTTTTGTTTTTCCCCAAAAAGTGTCTGTGCGTTTGCATAGGTCGGGTCTTCACGGAAGACGAGGAAAATCCAACACGTTCGACTATGTACAAGCCAGCCCGGGGCCGGCGCCGCTGCCTATGGTACAGTATAGATATATCTCTGTAGTCGCTCTCTGTACAGTATGTATAGATCTATATGGGTATGTACAGGCTGCCCGGCCCTGGGGGGGGCCCTGCCCTCACCAGGCTCCCCCTCGTGGAGCTGCCCCCCAAGCCCCAGGGCACGGGGTGGGCTGCGGGCAGGACCCCGCGGCACAGGACGGTGTCGGCAGGAGGTGTGGCGCGTCCCTGCGGACGTGGCCGCGCCCGTTGGCGGGGTGGGAGGCGAGTCCAGCCAGGATCGGCGCATGCCACGATCCCCGCCCCGCAGGGCAGCTCTGCGGGCGGCTCTCCGGGCAGGGGTGGTGGTGGTCCCGCAGTGGTTCCCCCGCTGGCTCTCAGGAGGGGCGGCAGGTCGGGGGGGCCGCACTCGGCAGAGCGGCGCTGGCCGGGCCCCCGCGGGCGCCGGGAGCTACGAGGCCAACAGGGTCATGAGGAAGAGCGCGGCGGCCACGGCCAGGGGCAAGTGTTCCCGCTTGGGGCTGGTGCCACTGATGCTCTTCTCCAGCTTCGGCATCTCCGGGTTGAAGTTCTCTGCGGGGAACAGCGAGAGGGTGAGGGGGCAGCGGGGCGGCCCCCAACCCCCACCCCCAGTCAGCTGGGGCTGCCCCAAAGGCGGCGGCGGGGGGGACGCGGCGCTGCGGGGCCGGGGGGCTCTGCCTGACTCACCCAGGTCCTCGATCTTCACCTCGGGCCGCAGGGTGAACTGGGGCAGGGTGGGCGCCAGCTTCTCCCCGGAGTGTGACGCTGTAGAGGGAGAGAGGGAACGGGGGTCACGCTCCCTGGATGCCCTGTGCTGCTGCCCCCCCTGCCCAGGGAGGGAGAGGGGACCCGCCGGCCAGCCACGCCGCCCCCCGCTCGCCCACAGCCCCCAGGGTGGGCACAGAGGTACTTACTGGAGGCGCAGCAGACGAACACCTTCATCTTCAGGCAGGCCCGGCGGTGGTTGTGTGTTGGTGTGGCTGCAAGGCAAGAGAGGGCTGGGGGTGGCTCTGTGGCAATGACCCCAGCCCTGGGCACCCCTGGGCATGGGGGTGTCTGGTCCTGCCCAGGGGTGTGCTCTGGGCTGGAGGAATGCAGCAGCACCCCAAATCCTGCACTGCATCAGCACCTGAATCCTGTGCCAACAGCCTGTACCAGCATCCCAATCCGGCACCACCACCCCAATCCTGCATCCTCCATCCTACACCAGCACCCCCCAGCACCCCCATCCTGCACCAGCACCTTCACCCACACCCCCATGCCATCCTTCCATCTTTCCCCATGCCCCATCTCTCCCCCACATCATGCACCCTCCCCGCACCATCAACCCCTCCCTGACCCCCATCCCAGAGCTCCGGGTGCCCACTCTTAGGGAAGGGGGAACAACTGCCCAGCTGCGGGAGGTGCAGGGACAGCCCCAGCTTTGGGGTTGGCCCTTGCTGGGGGCGCAGAGGGGCCCCACAGGATGGGGGGACTCCCCGAGGAGGGACATGGGGTGACCCAGCCGGGGCTGGGGGGGGCTGTGTGGGGGTCCCGCCCCGCGGCCCCCACGTACAGATGTAGTAGTACTCCTGCCCCGCGCGGAACTCGTAGCCCAGTGAGAAGGCGCTGTAGCGCTGGAACTTCTCCGAGAACTTGATGGGGCTGTGGGGCGCGTGGGGCCGGTTGCACTCCCAGCGCTTGAAGCCCTGGCTGGTGTTGCAGGTGCGATACCCCTCCGCGTTCACCATGTACAGCACGTACTGCTCCAGCCGGTGCTCGGGCACCGAGGCGTTATAGTGCGGGCAGTAGATGTCCAGGTAGTCGTTGACGTTCACCTGCACTGTGTAACCCTCCCGCCGCAGGCTGCAAGGGAAGGAGGGGATGGCGGGGGTCAGGGACACGCCCCGCACCTCCCCAGACACCGCCCACCTCCTCCCTGGGGACCCAGAGACTGGACAAGGAGCAAGTTGCAGACTGGGGACACTGGAAGCAGCAGCACCCCCTGCTCGACCTCCGTGTGGAGCCCCCGTCGCAGCGGGGCCGTGCAGCCCCACGGACCTGTGGAGCAGAATCAACATCCCCGGGGGCACGAGTGGGGTGGGAGAAGATCTGTTGTCAAGCCACATGCACGGGTGGGATGGGCAAACGCACAGGCACGCGTGACGGCACTGCCAGGTCCTGCTGGGAACGTGCCAGCAGCCTCAAGGAGGAGACACGCACAGCACGATGAACAGACGGACCCAGAGTGGCATCGGGGTCCTGCAGGCAGCACGGTCCCCACGGCGCGCAGCCCCTGGGTGTGCGGGGAACCCCGGCATTCCCTGGCATTCTCTGCCTCCAGCAGCCCAGAGCCGACCCACCGCGGCCGCCCACCACGGCCCTGGCACGCGCGGCAGCTCGGAGCCAGGATTTCTCACCCCGCTCTGGCTAATCCCGTTAGTTCGTTAATGCCGTAAAGGGTGGCCCTGGGGGAGCCTCATTTACATTGATTAGGAGCAGCAATCCCCTCAGATCCACTCAGGAGAGGCTCCGCTGGCTCCTAATCCGCGCCCGACGGAAATCCCGGCCGCGGTAATCCTCGCCGCCGCGCTGACCCGCTGCTCCTGCCAATTAATTACCACCCGGCGCTGGCTCGGCACCGAGCCCGCCGCGACAGCACCCGACCCTGACCGGACCACGCTCGGCGCTGCCTCAGCGCTGCCTCGGGGAAGAGGGGGGGGGTCCCGAGCCCGGATCCCGCGGGGCACGGACCGCGGCATCCCGGCACACGCGGCCGAGCTCCCCCGTGCAGCTCCAGCTCGCGGCGCACCGCTCCGGATCGCGGCTCTTTTAGCGGGCATAAACCCCGCTCTGCGAGTTCCCACCACGCGGGGCTCCCCCTTGGCCCGCCGAAGGTCCCGCCGCCCCTCCCTCGCAGCCGAGCGTTCGCCGGGTCTCCCCGGCAGGGCCGGGCAGGGCCGCACGTGCAGGCGCCCCACCCTGCACCATCGCCCCCGGCGCTGTTTGGGGAGCCCCGGCACCGCCGGCGCCCGCGGCACTCCAGGAGCCGAGCGGCAGAGACAGAACTAAAAGGGGGACGTAGTGTCGGGCAGCAAAAAAATGGGAAGGGGGGGTGGGCCGAGAAGCGTCGCCTCCGGCACTTCTTGGGGGGCAACGGCTGGGGGGGGCTGATGGTGGAGCTCGTCCGCCGTGGGACAGGGAGCGGAGATCCACGCGGCCCCTCCCTCGCTGCGCAGCCGCTACTCCGCAGCCCAGCCCGGCACCCGCCGGCAACTGCTCCGCCGGGAAGGTGCTGAGGCAGCCACCCTTGCTCAGCGGGCGCCGGGACCTTTCATCTTCTCCCTTTGATGTGGTGGGAAGGGGGGCGGGCCGGGGGGGGGGTGCAGAAAAAGGCTTGTTATTAAAGAAATGGCCCCAAGGAGAAATTCGCAATTAACTCCACGCGGGACGCGGAGCTGGGACGCCGGCGTACCCCAATAGCTGCTCCCCACACCGGGGCGGGCTGTGGATGTGCCAGGGGATCGAGGGACCGGAGGAAGCGTCACACGCGGCTCCGCGTCCCACCGTGCCAGGGGAAACCCTGTCCTGGTGTGCTGGGGAGCTGTAAACCCCCCCCTCTTCCCCTGCGGCACCCAGCGCTGAGACACAGCCCCCCCTGGGACCCCACGCTGGGGCTCGTTAAGCAGCGGCTCATTAGGAAGAGTGGCTCCTGATAAACAGCCTCGCTAACGAGGCACCAACGTCTCCCCCCGGGGCTGGGACACACCAGCACCCACGGTGGGGCTCAGGGGCCCCAGGTGGTGTGGTGAGGGCCCCGTGGTAGTCACTGCCAGCTGCCATGGCATGCCGGGAGCTCCAGAGCATCAGAGCATCATCAGCTACTGGGAGGGCTGGGGAATGGCCCCACAAGGAGGCAGCCACAGGGCCACCACGGCCTGAAGCACAGCCAGGGGACCCCGGCAGCAGCTTCAGTCACAACGCTGTGTCCCTGCCGTACTTGGCTCCTGCACAGTCACTGTAGAGCAGCATCTCATGCAGCTGGATACCCCTAAACCCAGTAGCTCCCCCAGCACCATGGCCAAAGCACCCCGAGACCTGTTGGTAGCACTGTGGGCCCTGGTTTGGGGTAGAAGGGCAGGAACAGTCACCCTGAGAAAGGGACTCGGCCTCTTTCCTCACTGCCACCCACCCCAGGGCAGGCACAGGCTGCCCCGTCCCAGGGTCAGGAGGGACCCTCCATCTCCCAGGCTCCGGCGGCCACGGCCTGGCCAGCAGGGCACGGTGGGCTCCAGCAGTGCCCGAAGGGTTAAGTGCGGGAGGAGAACGGGCAGCATCACTTCTGCACGACTGCGTTTGTAGAGCAGGGTGGTACCTTCCAGCAGCCTGTCATGCTGGGCAGATGGATGTCCCCTGGCATCACCGGCCCCGGGCTCGGCGCCCACCGGCCCCGCACCGGAGGGACCCCGGTGGGACCCTGGTACCTGGCAGGCCGCAGCAGCCACCGGTGGGCTGGGCGGCCGCTCCGCTCCCATCTGCTGCCATAAATCCGGGCTGCGTGCCGCGCGCTGGCTCCCGCACTGCCGGGGAGCGCCTGGTGCACTGCAGCACGCCCCAGCAGCGGTGGCACGGCACGGACCAGACCCCCGTCTGGACCCCCACGCTGCAGACTCATCCACGTGGGTGTGGGAGAAGCCTGGAGGGCAGTGGGGCTGGAGTGGGGCTCAGCACCCCATGCTGGCGGTGCCAGTGGTGATGAGCGGGGCGATGCGGGGCGTCCCCCATGTGGTGACTGCACGGTGCCCCCGGCAATGGACACCCCCACCCAGCACAGCCAGGCCCTTTGTTTGGCTCCAGCAGCTTCGTCCTTTTGGCGCATCCGGGGCCCATCGATCACCAGGGGAACAAAAAAGTGCCATTGATTTACGAGTCCCCTTCCTGTCACCCCGCGCCACAGCGAGAGGCAAAGGCGCACTGACCGCCCTGGCCGCAATGGACAGAGGGGCAGACAGACCAACCGTCCCCCTGCACCCACCGCTCAGCCAGCCGGGGAGACACGGGGGGAGCTCAGCGTGGCTCCCCCCACCCCGTGCCAGCCCTCCCCACGCAGCCAGCGCTGCACAGTCACGGCGCCCAGACGGCCACGCACACGCGCGCTGGCTCGGCAGACAGCGCCTGCGACGCAGCCCACGCACGCGGGTGGCACCGAGCCACGGCACAACCCCCCCCTCCAGCCTCCCCCCGGCCTCGCCTGGCGCAGCCGCAAGGCGCGGGCGCTAACGGCACCGCCGGCACACCGTGTCCCCGGGGCCACCTCCCTGCGTGGGGAACTGGGGCTACGGGGGCGGGGTGGGGAGAGGACGGGGGGCTGCTCCATAGGCGGAGGGGCTGGGGTGCCAGCAGGCATCTGAGGTGATCCACAAGCACCCCGGCACTCCAGCATCACCCTACAGGTTGCCCCCACTCCCCCCCCTCCCCATCACTATTGACGGCCATGCGATCCCTGTAATCCCGGCTAAAGCCGGCACCTTCCCATGTTGCTAACAAGATCAATGAGGTTTCTAATTGGGTTTTAATTAAACCATCAATCTGCAACCGGTGACTCAATTACCAGCCCGGGCAGGAGCAGGTGGCCCCGGCCCTGTTGCACCCCAACAACGTGGCCGCTTCTCCCATGGGAACCCCGGCTGCGGAGCCGGGGCTCGGTGCCGCCCAGCGCCGTGACTCACTGGGCACGGCACCCTCTGCCCCCGGGCACCCACTCCTGCCAGCACTACGCCAGGCACCCCTGGGTGGGTGGCAGGGGGCTCTGGGTGCACTGAAGACCAGCCTGGAGAGCACAGCCATGGGGTGGGGGGTGGCCAAGCCCCCCTCAGCTGGCCTGGGGATACCACACCTGTTGTCATCACCACCATCCCCTCCTCCATCCCTGCAGCCAAGCGGGGAACTGCCCCTGCTCGGGCACAACTGCCCCGTGCCCCACAGCACCTCCCACTGGATGCCCCCAGACCCACCAGGGAGGGGGGATCCCTCCTGCTGCTGCCACCATCCTGTGGGTGCCAGTGGATGCAATGGAGGGATCCCTCTGTGCACAGCCCCGGTGTTGGGGTCTGGCTGATGCAGGGGAGCCTGGGCCCCCTCCAGACCCCTTCTGTAGGGACATGGTTCCTCTCTTGCATGAGATGCTCCCCACTGAGCCTGCTCTGTGCTGGGGCTCTCCAGAGCCCACTCCAGAGCCCACTCCAGAGCCCACTCCAGCCCTCACCGCCTGCGACACAACCTCAGCCAGATAAAAGCCACCTTGAAGAGGTGAGCGTGGCGGCAGCGACGGTGCTGGGGGGGGGCTGCATGACCTGGGGGTCGCACACAGTGCTGGGCCCTCCCTTCACACAGGTGGGCTCTGACCCCCCCACCTCAGCCAGGCACCAGCACCACGCTGTGTACTCCCCATCTCACAGCCTCCCCCCACTCTGCCTCATCCACTGCACCCAGTGCCCTCACTACCAGCACCCTCAGTCCCCACAACGGAGTCAGTGGCAGAGCATGGCACACCCCAACCCGCTCTGGGGGACTCCTGGGGGCTGCAGCAGTGGCAGGGGGTGCTGGCCATACCTGTGTCCACGCACAGGGACAGATCACTGTCCCCATCTCAGCAGCTGGGACACCCAGCAGGGAGGTGGCATCCACCAGCACCAGCCTGCCAGGGCCCGGCTCGGCTGGGGACACCCCATGAGCCTCTGACCTCGCTTCGTGGGGCACTCCAGGGTCACAGCCCCTCCAAAAGCCAGTGCTGAGTGGGATACAACTACCCTGCAGCTTTGCCTCGTGCCGTCAGGCCTGTTCCTGGCAGGACTTGGGATTGGAGGGCAGGGACCAACCAAAGGTCATCCCACAGCCCCAGGGCTCACTGGCAGCCACCAGAGGAGGTGATGGGACAGACAGATGGAATGTGCAGCTGGACCGACAACTGGCCGAGCAGGAGCAGGATCCGAGGATCCCGCCTTCACACCTCCCCAGGGCTTTGCAGACACACCCCAAACCCACAGCACGAGGGGTGTCCCGGCCTGCTCGGTGACCCTCCCTGGCACCCCCAGCCGTCCCTCGCGTGGCTGGGGGGGCTGAGCTGCCACCAGCCCCCTGCTCCCTGAGGCACCATCGACGGGCTCCATGGGTTGCCCCTCACCCCATCCTCCCGCCGAGGGCGGCCCCAGGGCCACCTGTGGGGGCACGGTGGGACATGCCATAGATTTGTGGGGTGCCTGGCGCAGCCCCCAAGGAGCGGCCGCAGCCGACACCCCCCTCCTCCCTGGAGAGCCCCGCAGGGCCGCGCTGGGCTTGTTTATGGCTCCGCTTGCAGCGGGGTTGCTGGGATTTGCAGGCTGCGGCCCAGGGAGCCTAATTCCCCCCATAATTTATCTAATCCAGACACTTTGCCGTGCGGCTGTAATTGCGTCCGAGCTGCCGCACTGCCTAACAATAAATATCAGCTCCGGAGTCCCTGGGACACGGCTCTGCCGCAGCCGCCCCCACCGCGCCGCCCGTGCCCTGAGCCGGACGCCGGCGGCCACGCCAGACACGCGTGCGCGGCGGGTGCGGGTGTCTGGCTGCAACACCCTCGGCGTGGCACGGTGGGGGCACTGATGGCACCCCCTCCACCCTGTCCCTCGAGAGGTGCCAGAGCACCAGCAGGTCACCGGCGCCGATGGGGTGGGGACACTGGGTTGTGGCAGGACAAGGGTGGGGGAGCGGGTGGGTCCCACCTGTCCATGTCGTGGCAGTGTCACCGTGTGGGGACGAGGCCGGGGGTGAGGCGGGGGGTCCAGCCGGAGCAGAGGGGCCTGGGGAACGCTGAGCGCTGCGGGGCGAGCCCGGCACCTCGCCATTGTGCTGCGCCTCGGCACGTCGCACACACGCACGATTTATGGGGCCCGAGCTTCCGCCTGGCGACACAATCTCAATGGCAGGGGAGGGGGCTGTCGGGGCTGCTCCCACCCCGCACAAAGGGGCGCAGGGCTTGGGGGGAGCCCTGGGGAGCCCCCTCACCGACGGGCACCAAGGGGATGCTCTGGCTGGATGCACGTCCCCGCCACACCCCTGGGCGCTCACGCTGGTGAGGGACGGGGAGGTGGGCGATGGCAGCGGGCGCAGATCCCCCTGGAGAGGTCCGCAGACACACCACGGGCACGCAGCCCCCCCTCCTCGGGGGGGCCCAGCCCAGATCGGCCCCATCACACACTCGCTCTCAGGTGTGGGTGCCACGCAGCCCCCCCGCGCCGGCGAGGGCAGGGGCAGCCCCGGCGCAGGGTGTGAGGGAGGGGCTGCGCGTCCACGACCACCGAGCCCTGGTTGCTCCCCTCCCGGTAGCCGTTCCCAACCTCCGCTAGCACCCCCCACCGCCCCCGCAGCCCCGGGAACCACCGCCGCCGGCCCGGGGATGCCAGTGCTGCCGATCCGAGGTGGTGGGGGTCGGCGGGCACCTGTCGGGCCAACCCGCCTCCACCGCGCCGCCGGTGCCGCTCCCGCACCCAGACAGGCGCGGGGCGCGTCTGGAGGTGGGAGCAAGACCCCTGCCCGCCCCGGCGCACCGGGAGGTGGATGCATGGGAGTGGCTGGACGCTTCCGATGCCCCCGGCAGGTCAGCGCTGTCGGGGGGCTGTGGGGGACTCTGCCCTCAGTGCCCACGACCCACCGCGCCCGCACCGGGAGCCGCCGAGCCCCGCCCGGCAGCGCGGCCACGGGAACACGAACCGGCCGGGCGGCTGCCCCTCTCCCCTTGGAGCAACCTCCGCCCCCGCGGGCAGGACGAGGGGCAGCGGGGGCACCGGCACGGGGGGCCCGGCGGCCCCGCCCGCACGAGGGCGCCGCGCGGAGACCGGCACCGGGGGAAGGGGGGGGTCCCTCATTCCCGGTGTCACCCGCCGCCCCCCGCGCATCCTTCAGCGCGATCCCCGCCGCGTCCCCGCCGCGTCCTTCCCGGCGGCGCCCCCCGCCCCGCGCCGTCCCGGGGACACCCTCCAAAACCCCCCGCCTCCCGGTGCGGGTCCCAGCGCCCGCCCGCACTCACTGCGGGTTGGAGCTGTTCCAGTGCACGGCGTGCCGGTTGCCCAGGGCCCCCGGCGGCCCCCGGCCCGGTAGCAGCAGCAGCAGCGGGAGCAGGGGCAGGAGCCCAGCCGCCATCCTGCCGCCGCCCGAGCCCGCCGCGATCCGGGGGAATGGAGGGAGAACCGAGCCCGAGCCGCCCGCGCCCCGCGGCCCCGGCGCCCAGCTCCGCCCCGCGCGCTCCCGCCGCCGCCGCGCCCCCGCGCGCGCTCCCGCCGCCGCCCCGGGCCCGCCCGCCCCGGCATCGGCACCGGCACTGGGCTCGGGCCGCGGGTTCCCGCGGGTGGAGGCACCCGGGTGGATCCCACGGGGATCAGGTGCCACCGGAATCTCGTTGGGATCCCCCGGGTTGGGGCATCCATGCCAGGTCCCACCTGGATCAGATGCCACTGATGTTGTTGGGGTCTGACTGGGATGCCCCTAGGTGGGGAAACGGGGTCTGGGTCTAACTGGGACCTGCACGGATGGTGGCACCAGGGCCAGGTCCTGCTGACATTGGGGTCTCACCAGGACCCCCATGTGGGGCAGCACCCGTGCCAGGTCCCACTGGGGTCAGGTGCCACCAATGTGGGGGTTTCACTAGGACCCCTGTGTGTGGGGGCACCAGTGCCTGTCCCATCTGGGTCAGGTGGCACTGGGGTCTCACTGGGACACTCACAGGTGGGGGGGCACCAGAGCCAGGTCCCACAATGGGGTCTCCCAGGGTGGGAGTGCTGGGCCTCAGGTCACTGGCCCCTGTGAGTCTGTGTGGTTGAGGGAGCTGTGGGTGGGGTCTCAGGACCCCAGAGTGTACTCATGCTGCTGCTCTCAGTGCCACGGGGGTCACACATGTTCGCAGAGAGTTTGGCCACCCAGGGGACATAAGAGGGGGTGGGAGGGTGGGCATCCACTTCCCATGGGCAGCCTCGATGCCGAGAATCACAGACACAGGGCCATGCTCTGCCTCCTTCCCTGTCCTCCCTCAGGGACCAGCACACGGCCAAGTGCCCACCCACAGGGCCAGGCCCTCGCTCTCCCCTCACCCCAAGGGTGCATGGGGGGGCACCTCCAGAGGGGAGTCACGGGGGGGGCCTGTGAGTCCTTCTTCTGACCACGTGTAAAGAAGAGACTGAGCTGAACACCAGCTCCCGCTGCCCGTCCTCGTGGAGATCCCTTAGCAACTGCCGTGCGGCACCGCCCGGCAGAGCCGTGTGCCAGGTGATCGGCGCCCTGGCACACGTGTGCACACATGAGCGCGCTCGCGCTGGCGCGGGCACACACGGCTCGCACCGCTGGCTCCCATGCAGGGCCGCGCCGGGCGCGCGCACATCACCGGCACCGACCCAACAGCCTCTCTCTGCCTCAGCGGTGCCAGCGCCGTGCATCACCTGGAGGGAGCTTTGGCAGCCTCGGGAGCTCGTGAATGAAACCAGGAGGCTCCCGAAACCGCGGCTGGGCTTGCTGAGCCGGCCCAGGCTGCTCCTGCCAGGAGCCGTCTCGCTGGCGTGGGGAGCGTGGCCAGGGCGGTGCGGTGCCGAACAGCCGTGTCCCCACGTCCCCACCAGCTCTCAGGCCTGGGCAGGTGACTCCGTGTGCCGAGTCTTGGAGGATCTCCTGGCTCCCCAGAGCTGTGGGGGGAGCTCAGTGTGGAAGCAGAGCCACACCCCTCTTTTCAGGCACCCCAAAAATCCTCTGGCCATGTGTATGAATGAGGCTGATGATGGCCAGGGTCCTCGGTCCCACTTGGCACTGGGGGGGACCCAGCCCCCAGTTCCCATCCATGCTGGAGGCACTGGGGGCCCAAGGCCCTGCCAGAGTCCTGCCAGGAAGGGGGAGGGGGCCAACGGAAGGGCCCGGAGGACCAAAAAAGCCTCTATTAATTATTCATCTGGAGAAGTGAAGTGAAGAAAACACAACACGTGGAAAAGGGCTCTGCCTGCCCGGGGGTGAGAAGCGGAGGGAGGGGGGAGCACTGAGGGGGGGCTGCAGGGGCGGGGGCATCCAGGTGCCAGGGTGCCGTGGCAGCAGCAGCAGCAGCAGCAGCAGCAGCGGTGGCATCCCGGGGTGCCGTGCACCTCTGGGAGGACCTGCAGCACTGCTCTGCCACCATGGAAACGCCTCGGCTCGGCAAACCCATGGCAACACCCACCTCCACATGGAAACCCCCCGCTCCTGGCAACGCACACGCCGCCGCCAGCACCCGCACGCCCGCCGCGCTCACCACGGGGGTCCCCCCTTCCCCCCACGGCCCCCTGATTTGGGGGGCCACAGCAGATGCGCCGAGTGCTCCAGCAGGGATGGAGGGACCCGGAGTGGCAGGTCACAGACCCAGTGCATCACAGTGTGTGACCGCTTGCCAGTGCCCACCAGGCGTCACCCCCAGGGTGTGGGGACAGAGCCCAGCACATGGAGGGGGCTTGGCTGGGCTTTGCTACAGTGGGATATGGTGTTTGTGGTGGGATGGCTGGGGGACACAACCAGGTGGCTTTGCTCTCCAGAGGATGCAAAAGGCCTCAAGCTCTCCAGGAGCAGCCCTGGTTCTCCCCCATTTCCATGCCCCTCTGTCTGCTCCACCCTGTGCCCCTCGTGCTGAGGACGAGCAGCTTTTTTGGCTTCAAAGCGGTGAGGACTGGAACAAAGCCTTCCACCCTCCATCCGTGGGCATCAGGGGGTGGCTGGAGCAGGGTGGGCACAGGGGCAGGGCAGGGCAGGGGCAGGGGACCCGCTTTGCCCGCCTCGGTTAATATTTAACCGCAGCTTCCTGTGACAGCACGTCGCAACCACAGAGCAGAGCCAGCATTCAATAAATCATCGCGCTGGGCTGGGAGCTGGGCTGGGGGAGCGGCGGGCGGAGGTGGGGGGGGCAGCGCCCAGCCGAGCGAGAGGGGGAGCCGATAAATAATTCATTAAATAAATAAACATGGCGAGAGCGCGGGGAGGAGGCAGGAGTGTAACCAAGAAAGGGCTCGGTGAACGCGGGCATGAAATATTCACCAGCCACACCTACCAGGCCCCAACGCGCTGAGCTCAGGGCTCCCGACCCGCCCGCGGGAGCCAGGTGCCGGCACGTGTCCAGCCAGACACGGCAAGAACATGCCAGTGGTAGGCAGGGCGGGTGGCCTGGGTCGGGGAGTAGGCACTGCTGGCATGTCCATGTGGCAATGAGCTGTCCTGGCTCCTGCCAGCTCCTGGCAGCGCTTGGGGCAGCCCCTCGCAGCCCCACGCTGGTGTTTGGGCACGAGGCCGTCCTGCCAGGCAGGCTGGGATGCCTGGGGAATGCTCAGCTCACTCGGCGTGCCCGCTGGCTGCCAGACCCGCTCCTCGCTGCCCCTTCCCTTTTATATTCCGTGTTGGTTGTTAAATTTGAATGAAGCCTCACGGATGGCTGCGCTGCCTCAGCGCCTTGATGAGCACCGGGCAAGCGTCTGAGCCCTCCCATTGCCCAGGCAGAGGAGAGACCCCTAGCCCTGGAGGTATCTTGTGGGACACCCTGGGGCTGGGCTCGGAGTGCTGGCAGTGTGGACACAGGGATGGTGAAAATGAATGGCAGTGACACGGGCTACCAGGCCACCTCCCTGGTCCAGGCAGAGCGACCTCATGCCAGGGTGGCTCGGAGGTGAGCCTTGCACAGAGGGACGTGGGGACAATTCGTTAATTAACACCTCATCAGCCTGAGCTCGTTGATGTGGAGCTGGACGGTGCGGGATTGGAGCGGATGGCGCTGAGCCCCGGCCACCAGCGAGCGGGCAGCGGTGCTGGGGCTGCAGGAGGAAATCAGTTTCCTCACTGGAGCCGCTGGATGAGGCTGTTTGTGGTTCCCAGCACCGGCGCTGGGGCTACTCCTGCTGCCCAGTGGGAGGAAGCTGCAGGGTTCCTGCCCTGGGCGCCGGGCGCCTGCTTGTCGGAACCCTGGCTCCGGCAGGCCCTGCCGTGCCAAATCTCACCCGCCCTGGGTGTGTGGGCACCCGGAGGTGCCGGGTGGGAGGCTCCCAGGGCCGGCAGCCGCGGTCCCGACGCTGTCCCGGCACGCGGGTGGTCCCAGGTAGAAACAGGTCACCACGCACACACCACTCTCAGTTCAGCCCACCCTGCAGCTTGGCCAGTGCTGAGCTGGAGTGCCGGGTAGTGCCCGCCTGTGCCCTCTGCCACATCCCATGTCCCAGCAGCCCACACGCCAGCAGCCGGGACTACCTGGCAGGAAGCGCCTGAGTCAGCAGCCGGCACCGGGTGACTCAGCCGGCTCCTTTCCTCGCCTTCCCGCATGGCAAAACCTCCCTCCCGGCCTCAAGATCACTCCAATATCACCCGCTGGTGGCAGCCCCAGCCTCGCTCCCAGCCCCTCCTGCTCCGCCACGGCCACGGCTGTGCCGGGTGGGAGCCGTGTGGCGTGGGCAGGGCGAGCACGGCAGGGGCCTGGCACGTGGCCCCGCTGCAGCAGCAACGGCAGTCACAGCTCCCTGGGGAAGGGACAAGGACACTGAGATGGGTCTGTGGTCCCCAGCCCCAGCACTTGGCTCCCCGCTGGCCCTGCAGCACGGTGCTCTGCTTGTCCCAGCCGTGCCACCTCGATGTCCCCTGCGAGGTGTCTGGGGGTGCCTGAGTGACATTAATCCAATGAAGGGGTGACAGGCAGTCTTGATATCCTGCTCCCACTGTCCATAGAACACGGCACAATCAGCATCTGGGAGCACTGGCAGAGGTGGGAGCGCCAGGCTGGGGGTGATGGGAACAGGTCCACGCTGTGGTTCTCCCCATGCTCCTGCCCTGACCCATCAGGCAGTGGTGCCAGGGGAACTGCAGCCCCTCAGCGCCAAAAGAGGGATGGGGTTGGGCACAAGAGTCCCGGGGAACACAGGAGCCATCCCAGGAACCCACAGCTTGGCCGTGTGGGGACAGTGGGGACAGTCCAGCTCTGGGCCCCAGTGCCCCCTCGGGGACAGCCCCTCCCCATCCCATCCCGGGCAGGAGCCGTGGCGGTGGGTGACCCCCCCGGGGAGCGGGGCCAGGTGACACAGTGCCCTTGGTGCCAGGCAGAAGAGCGGAGAATCCAATGAGCTAATAAATTGAGGGGGGGGGGCAGCAGGGGGCCAGGGCTAAGCGTGCAGGCGCAGGAGATTTCAGGGCCTGAAATATTCATCAGGTCTGATGCAGC